ACGTGCACACTTACCACTATGTGGATTTCAGAAAGTGCACAGAGCTTAGCGTGTGCACTTACCATAGCATGGATTAACGTTTCCAGGCATCTGATCACAGATACTCAAGAGGTACTGGGCCAAACGGGAGAGGCAAGCTCAAATATGACCCTCTAAGGCGAGGGGACCACTGCCTGAGACAGCATACACAAGAAGGTTCTTGCAAATACCACCTATACTTCCCGCTCGATGCCTCAGCAAGAGGAGATATCCTGGAGCCCGGACATCCAGGAATTTTTTGCAGTGTCGTGCCGGGGGCCTGATGATCAAGAAGGCTCCCGCAGAAGCCTCTGACCTGGCCGCATGATCCAGGAAGCATGAAGCCGGAACCAGGGCTATCATACCGGCTGGACATAATGTCGACTAGTGAGGTAACACTGCAAGTCGAGCACCTGATTTCTGAATCCAGTAAAGGTGTGCTCACAGAGGACCTACCTTAGAGAAGACAGAAACACACAGGTCCCGGAAAACACTGCAAAGAAATCTCACAGAAGGATTATACACACATAACCACCAGCACATTAAATACATATATATACACACTACGGAAAGTATTCAGACCCCCTTAAATTTTTCACTCTTTGTTATATTGCAGCCATTTGCTAAGGAAGAAAGGGGCATATGTAAAACCCCCGAAGGAAATGAGTAGATACTCAAGTATCACTCTGATCTGGATGAAAGCACTGACGCCTTATCTGGATCACATCCCTAAGGTCTTGCCTACCTCACTTTGACCAACGATTCCTCCTACCCCTACCCGCAGGTGGAGGAGGAGCGCGAGCCGCGACACTAGCCTTCTGTGTCTGTCTCTGATCCTCAGACCAAGACGGACCAGGACCCCTATGTTGTTCGGGCTCAGACCTGGACCTTTGTGAATGCCGCTGAGCGTGCCTTTGCCTCCCTGAACTTCTCGACCACCGCCTAAAAGGAGGTACCAAAAAATACGTAAGGCGAAACTGGCACATCGAGAAGAAAGCCCCTCTCTTTTTCCCGATATCTGCTAGGTTCACCCACAGATGTCCCTCCGTCGCTACCATAGCCGCCATGGACTTGCCACTAGCTGAGGCGGCCTGCTTAGTAGCACGGAGAGCGAGATCCGTGGTGCGGCTCACTCAGCTACCTCATCAGGAGAAAGGCCCTCGCCTTTATCCAGGTCTTTCAGCAGGTCAGCCTGATATGCTTGGAGCATCACCATCGTGTGCAATGAAGCACCAGCCCGACCTGCTGCAGCTGCGTATGCCCTGACATTCGAGCGAGATGTCAAGGAGGGAGTCTTAAGAGAGGACATCTCACCCATAGAGAGATAGCTGGCCAACATCTCTCTATAGGGGCATCTTCTCATAACTGCTTCCGCGCATCGTCTCGATGTTGGCATAACTCGTATGCTGGAATCGATGGATGCGTGAGGAAAACGGCCTCTTCCATTCCTTCTCGATCTCTGTATGGAAACAGGAAGAAAGGAAGGCTCACCTGAGCTGGAGGGTTATGGACAGAAAAATAACGTTCATCGAGATACCTCGCAACGTCACTTTCTTCGCCTGCTTCACGGCAAATAAAGCCTCGCCGTGGCGCGATCCATAACTTTCAAAAGCTCATCATACGCAGGGCAGAAGAGAATGACATGTTCTCCCGGCGCCTATTTATACTAATAGTCGCACCGGTAGTGACGTCATGGGCTGTCGCCGGCCAACGTGTTGTTGGTGTTTTTTCAATGTATGCTTCAGACATGGGTCATGACGAACCGTTCCCCATAGTGACCCCTAGAGGATGCAGTTCGAAGTTCCCTTGATAGGGATCTAGCCGCGGTGAGGCTGCTCTCAGCGGATACATGAGCACTGAGCGCCCGGTGATCGCGAGGATCTCAAAGCACATTTTCAAATAGGCGCTTTCTTTATAAATAAACCGCAGATTTGAGTTTTAAACAACTACATTCTCGCCTGAAATACTCTTAGAACTGCATTTCATGACACAATAACAGTAATATTTTGAAAATTATGCGGGTTTCCCTCTCCGCCATTAACGCTCGCTGATTGGTGCGAAATGCATACTGTGATACCTAGTTCGCACAAGTCACCTCTGGATGCATCCTTGATAAAAGGGGCGGAGCAAGACCACATCCGGGGATTTAAACTGTACTGGACCTTTTTCACATTCCCGGGTTTCTCAGCAGCGGAAGTCGTCACAGTTGGGTAAACTAGAAGAGCAGTGAATGGGAGAGCACCACAAATATATTTTTTTGCATTCCCAGTTGCTCAAATAGCAAAATAAAAACTCCACGATAGTGTTTTCATGACTTTCAATAAAAGGAAAAAAATTGAAAGAGAACGATGTCAAATTTACCGTCCCTCCCATAGACGCTGCATTAGAAACACCCTCGCATTAGCATTAACTGTTTTTTTGTAATTTGATGCAACGGTGATATAATACAAAGAATAGTGTTATAAATGTAGATACATTTAAAAAAAATATACAAATATGAAAAACTTTAGAAGATTTACGATGCTGATGACCGTTAAATGCATCATCACAGTCTTGTGAAAAGGGTCCCTTGGCTAGATGTGAACTTTGAATTGGAACAGTACTTGGGCGAGGACTGATGACGTTTCACAAGTCCACAAGAAAACAAGTACAGACAAACGCATATTGAGAAACAGCCCTGAAGTGGGTGTGTCAGATATAGGGAGACATACAAAATGTGCAGTGCTGGGGGTACTTCATGGAGAGGTTTGAGAACCACTGCTGTATTGTATTTCTTTAAAAAAACTAATAATTAATTAAATCTGTGAAATGGCCCAGGTTGGTTGGAGTTCAACACAGAAGTATTATACCTATGTATGGGTGGCACCTTCCCTGGACCATGTCGGACCTGAACCACTTGTGCTACAAGTGTTTTTTTCAGGTAGGAATCACAATCACTGCACATTTTAGATTTCTCTTTTACATATCAAATCTTTCCAGTATTTTGCTCCATTACCTGTGTTGCGTTTTAGTGCCAGAGGAACCTGAGAGGCAAGGCTTCCAACAATGTCTAAAATGTTATTGTGATGTAAACATGGTTGTGACATGCAAATATTCAATACTGCTGGAAGGTTTTTACTAAAGGTAAAAAAGGGGGCTTGATGTGTCCCCCTCAGGCTATCATGTCTGTGGTTACGTTAGTTGTGGCCCTGGTGTAATTAATGTGCACCAATGCCATGGATGTGACGTTGTGCTGCTATTTTAAAAGGCTGAATCACTGACTTGAGTGGTCCACATCTAGGCTAGGCTACTCATAACGTTACTCAGGGCAAGGGTCCTAAATCAAGGGACCTTGTGATGTGTCAAGTGTCTGAAGAATTTGATTTCCTTCCCTGTGCCACTTCCTTGGCAATTAATTATGTGTGGGATGCACACACACACACACACATATATATATATATATATATAAAAACATTTAAATATCTCTCTTGGTCTTGAGTGAGAGTAGACTTTAAACTTTGGTGCATACTAAACCAGATAAACAATAAATAATATTAAAATTCTGTGCTATTTTATATAAATAAATTAAAACACTAAAATTACACAATTACACAAAATTATTTATGCATTTGAAATGTATTCAAAATTACAATACATTTAGATTTAGTTTTAACATAAACTAATAAACTTAATGTGATATATATGCATATTTGTTATACATAAATAAAACAGGTAAGAAAAGAGTAAGAATTCTGTAGTACTACCAAAAAACTAAATTTGTATTAAATATTATATATTTATCACCAAGAAATTCCAATTTGTTGTCTCCTATATTTTAAATAATTGAATATCACTTTTCCACAGTTAGCCATAGTTGAACCATGTTCTTAATTGATTTTTTGAGTACAAAAAAATCTTTCTCACCGATTTCATTCATGATTCGCAAATATGCATCACATAAAGTTTATGCTGAAACTGTGTAATCCAAATGGATGGAAATTTTATATGTAATTCAAATCCATAAATCCTAAATTTAGGCCTAAATATTTTTTTGAGTGAAGTCATTTTAAATGCTATACAAGTGAATTTAGGCATACAAAAATTATAAATTATAATAAAATATCCAAAATTAACAATCAAATATCCAATATCAATCAGTACAGATAGATTTAAAAAAAAATCTTAACTACTGGATGATAACCAATATGGTCTTTCCCTATACCAGTCTCAGCCATGGGCTTAGGCCCACTAGTAATTTTAATTATTATTAATATATTATAATAATGATTAACTTAATTAAACTGCTTTTGTGGTTACTTACTCATTTCAACACTCCCAGATTCTGTTAATAATTTATTATATAGGGGGCCTTTGAATATTGTGTTGAGAACCACTGCCCTATATATTAAACTCTAATGATACTGATTTTTTACTCAGAGAGCTACCTGCCCAAGGATGATGGGGAGTTTTACCAGTTCTGCTATGTGGACAGCTTTGGTCATGTCAAAGGAGCCAGCTCCCCATTCTGCTTTCAAACCCCAGCAGAAGCAAGCCTTGACTGCAGCTTGGAGAAGGACCTGTTAGTCATAACAACACAGGTACATCTCCATTGGAAGTTAAAGTTTGTAGTATTTTTACTTTCTGCTAGCCATTTACATTTAATATCAATACTAACTGGCCAAAAAAATCATTCATCGAATGTTCTTGTGAGTAGGAGCAGGCAGAAAAGACAGAGAAGGAGAAAGAAGACTTTGTGAAAGAGATTGAGTCTTTAAAAGAAACAAATGCGATCCTGAAAAAAGAGTTGGATGAAAGACTGCATGAGATCCGCCGTCTCAGGGTTAGTCAGACTCTCTTTCTTTTACTATACACATATGTAAAAATGTAAGCACTTATTATTTACACTATTTATGGTTGTATTTATGATTTCTGCAATGAAAGCCAACTGATTGTCTGATTTATTATCTAATGCCTTTTTTTTTTTTTTTGCCCTGTCTTTGTGTGCTGGACCCATTATGTAGTGGGAATGTTGTACTACTTGTTCTACTTAGTCTTATTTTTAGTTTATGTATGTATGTATTTATGTATGTGTATATATATATATATATATATATATATATATATATATATATATAATATTTTATTATAGTATAGTATTTATAATAGGTATTCAATTAGCTTTTTTATATTTTCAGATGTTATTTAAATTTTTATTGTCATTTTATATAAATTTTTGTATTTTGTCATTTCTATTATATTATAATATTTCTGTTGCTTTCATTTATTTTAATTTGATTTTATTTATTTATTTCTCAGTTTTGGTTTTAGAACTTCTACTTAATCATTTCAGTTATTTGTCAAGGCAACATTTTTAATTTTCATTTAAGTTATTTAATATTTATATTTTATTTTACTTAATTACACAATATTTAAACAATAATAACACATTTACTGCATTATTCTTGTACTGGTCATCATTGCAAAACACCACTGGTGAATAAAGAGATTGTAAATGTGCCTTTATACTAAACTGCAGAGCTCCATAGAGGATTCAAAGTCAAAGGATAAACCAGAATCACCTCTGCCAGATGTACCCAGTTTTAATAACACAGAAGAGGTAAAGAAATAACTATGCTTCTGCAAACAACCAGTGGAAACACTGACACATATATATATAATATTTTATTATAGTATAGTATTTATAATAGGTATTCAATTAGCTTTTTTATATTTTCAGATGTTATTTAAATTTTTATTGTCATTTTATATAAATTTTTGTATTTTGTCATTTCTATTATATTATAATATTTCTGTTGCTTTCATTTATTTTAATTTGATTTTATTTATTTATTTCTCAGTTTTGGTTTTAGAACTTCTACTTAATCATTTCAGTTATTTGTCAAGGCAACATTTTTAATTTTCATTTAAGTTATTTAATATTTATATTTTATTTTACTTAATTACACAATATTTAAACAATAATAACACATTTACTGCATTATTCTTGTACTGATCATCATTGCAAAACACCACTGGTGAATAAAGAGATTGTAAATGTGCCTTTATACTAAACTGCAGAGCTCCATAGAGGATTCAAAGTCAAAGGATAAACCAGAATCACCTCTGCCAGATGTACCCAGTTTTAATAACACAGAAGAGGTAAAGAAATAACTATGCTTCTGCAAACAACCAGTGGAAACACTGACACAGCTGAATATTTTAGCTACAGTATCTCTATAATTTAATCTGTATGACTTTAATCAAACAAAATGATTCACAGTCACTGACATCTCTGCGAGAAAAGTACGATAGAGCTGTTCAAAAGATCCACTTGCTTAAGAGAGAAAGGACAGAGTTACAGCAACAGCTTGAACTCAAGAATGGGGAAGTCCTCAGGTGAGTGTCCTCAATATGGAAATCTCTGTGTTTTATGTGCAAAATTTATGGAAATGTTCATCTATTTTTTTCTCCAGGTTAAACACCTTGTTGAAAGAAACAGAGCAAAATCACAACAAAGTACAGGACCAAGTCAAGCTGCTACAGGTTTGCAAATGTGCTCTTAATGTGAGACCCTGGCCCCAAAACCAGTCATAAAGCTCAATTTTTTGCTGAATAAATAAGCTTTCCATTGATGTACGGTTTGTTAGGATAGGACAATATTTGGCCGAGATACAACTATTTGAAAATCTGGAATCTGAGGGTGCAAAAAAATCAAAATAATGAGAAAATTGCCTTTAAAGTTGTCCAAATGAAGTTCTTAGCAATGCATATTACTAATAAAAAATTAAGTTTTAATATATTTACAGTAGGAAATGTACAAAATATCTTCATGGAACATGATCTTTAATTAATATCCTAATGATTTTTGGCATAAAAGGAAAATCTATAATTTTGACCCATACAATGTATTTTTGGCTATTGCTACAAATATACCGCAGCGACTTAAGACTGGTTTTGTGGTCCAGGGTCACATATGTGTTATTACTGTTAATGATAATTAAGAAAAAATATGTATTTTTGTAGTGCCTCTAAACAAAGACGCTTCATAATTCATGACATTACAAATACCAAGACAAAAATAGAGTAAGAATTGAAAAGAAAGCACAACCAAATGAATGCAAAAAAGGTTGTGGTCTAAGAAGCTTCAAATTTATTCTGTTTTAGGTGGATGTGCAAAGCAGCAGGAAAGACTATGAGAAATTGCACACTGAAATCCAGGAGCTCAGGATGAAAAATACTCCGGAGGACCGGAGGGCTGAAAACAAAGCATTACAAACATCCTTGTCAGAGCATGAAGCCCAGTTGAAAGAAGAAAACTGTAAAGTGAGGCTTGTCACCAAGGCTTATCCATTTTTTGAAGATTGAAGACTTCAAATCAAATTCACAAATTCATCAAAAATCACTGTATTGTCAGTGATTCAAGTAATCTTTTTGTGACTCAGGTACAGATTCAAGCCCTGCTCAATCAGCTGACAGAGGCCAGAGGGCTGCTTCGCAGTGAGGTGCAGAGTTGCAAAGAAGCCTGCAAACGTGCAGAAACCGCTGAGCAGGAATTGAAGGAAGTGAAAAGGAAGCTGGAGGAGATAACCTTGAAACAGACTGAGGACCAGAAAGCCAATCAAATCCAGGTATTTTTCAATATAGTGTCATGTTTTTTAATCTTTTACATTCTATTTTCAACTTTAGTCTGATTTTGTAAGTACGTTTAGGAATAATAATCATTATTTAGATCCAGATTCCACACAATTTTGTCATTACAGGCACAGCTTCAGCAGGCACAAGACAAAATTTATGAAATGGCAGAGACATCAAGATTAGATGGAGAGAAGCTTGTGGAAAGGAATGAGGTGATCTGTTTTGTTATGACACATTAAACATCACTGTTAGCTACACTACACTTTCAAAAGTTTGGGGTTGGTGAGATTTCAAGTCTATTATGCTCACCAAGACTGCATTTACCTATTTGTGACCATGGACCACAAAACCAGTCATAAGGGTCAATTTTTCGAAATTGAGATTTACACATAATCTGAAAGCTGAATAAATAAGCTTTCCATTGATGTATGGTTTGTTAGGATAGGACAATATTTAGGAAAATCTGGAATCTGAGGGTGCAAAAAAATCTAAATATTGAGAAAAATGCCTTTAAAGTTGTCCAAATGAAGTTCTTAGCAATGCATATTACTAATCAAAAATTAAGTTTTGATATATTTACAGTTGGAAATTTACAAAATATCTTCATGGAACGTGATCTTTACTTAATGTCCTAATGTTTTTTTGCATAAAAGAAAAATCAATAATTTTGACCGATATAATGTATTTTTTGGCTATTACTACAAATATACCCCAGCGACTTAAGACCGGTTTTGTGGTCCAGGGTCACATTTAAAAACACAGTTAAAACAATAGTGTGAAATATTATTACAATTACATTTTTTTTCTATTTTAATATATTTTAAAATGCAATTTATTCCTGTGATGGAAATGCTGAATATTCAGCAGCCATTACACCAGTGTTCAGTGTCACATGATCCTTCAGAAATCATTGTAATATGCTGATTTGCTACTCAAGAAACCTTATCTATGTTGCAAATATTGTGCTTCTTAATATTTTTTTGGAAACAATTTTTTTTGTAACATTATAAATGTATTTACTGTCTTATCTGTACTGTCTTTTTTATAAAATTAGTTTGCTGAAAAATGTATTAATTAAATTAATTAAAAAAAAAAATCTTACTGACCCCAAACTTTTGAACTGTAGCGCATTTTAGGAAATTTCTACAGAACATTAATACCAAAGATGTTGTGGGGCACTGAATGACATGCCAGTCAATTATTATTTTATTAAGTTTTTTTATCTTTAGGAACTGCAAGCAGATGCAAATAAGCTTAAAAGGGCATTGTTTGACTACCAGGTCGCATCTGTTGCCGCAATGTCTGATCAAATATCCAACCCTCAAAGCCCACTGGCCTCCCTGGAGCAAACATACTCACCTGACTCTCATTTCTATGAGAATAAAAAAAAAATCTTACTGACCCCAAACTTTTGAACTGTAGCGCATTTTAGGAAATTTCTACAAAACATTAATACCAAAGATGTTGTGGGGCACTGAATGACATGCCAGTCAATTATTATTTTATTAAGTTTTTTTATCTTTTTATCTTTAGGAACTGCAAGCAGATGCAAATAAGCTTAAAAGGGCATTGTTTGACTACCAGGTCGCATCTGTTGCCGCAATGTCTGCTCAAATATCCAACCCTCAAAGCCCACTGGCCTCCCTGGAGCAAACATACTCACCTGACTCTCATTTCTATGAGAACATCGATGACTTGACAGGTTGGTACAATAAACAGTCAACGAAAAAGGGAATTGTAACATTTACTCAGATGAAAACGCAAGCATTTCTTGAAGTCGTCTTAAAATTAGCGTATTAAACTCGTAACGTATTTCATTTCTACATTATAGCAAATCCTTCAGATCCAGAAAAACAGGTAATTATTTTAATGAATGCAATATTTCAAGAATGAGCTCAAAATTATTCAACTGTATGCATTTCCTTATGTGTAGATTAGAGTGTGCCAGCATTGTCAGGAGGTCTTTCCTGGCATCAACGAGGTTGAACTGACAGAACACGAGCAGTCTCACAAAGTGTGTCCACTCTGCACTCTGATCTGTGACGATATGGAGCAGCGGGAGTTTGAAGATCACGTCTATAGTCATGAGGATTAGTCCATTCTTGTTTCTCTATCTGATATACTGTCTTTGGGAAAGTATGGTGGCACTTTTTAAAGTACTGAATAGTCCAGGATTTTCTAGATAAGCAGCACTTCTCTTTCATTATTAGCTGTTATCTATATAGGGACAGGTTTTTATTTTTATTATTATTAGGTAATGATTGAAATATCACTGAAGAAACTGGAACCAAATGTCCAATTAAGTAATTTAAAAAAATTATAGTAGATATAATACAGATGCAAGATAAATTGCACTTATATAATAACAACAACTGAGATGGTCTTATTTACCTAAACTTTTTCCAGTGGTTACTCAGGCATTGGAATAATAAACATATCGTGAGAAATGTGACTAAATAGATGCTTTTATTCTCCATTTTCACTGTTTTTCCTCTCAAACAAGCTTGACTTGCAACATTCTTTGACCTTCGCCTCTATCCACCATGACAATGTATTTACAAAATAATGTCTTATTCTCAAGGTGTCATTTGGTTGGCCTCCTCAGGCGTAACGTCTCGCGATAACAGCTCCGAGAACAGAGCAGGAAGCCAGTACTGTGGCTCCCCCGCAGCTTGGGAGTCCAGCCATGCTAAGCCTTCTTTCAGCAGGTGATCCTGAAAAACAGTGCAAAAGGTATTATTACTATATGACATAGAAAGCATTCAGAGTGGTGTTTCGTTTTTCCTGCACACTTACAAGAACGTGACTGGCCCGCTCTCTCTCCCACTTGAGGCTGTCTCTGATCTCACTCACTGTCACGTAGCCCTTTTTCTGTGAAACATGGCCAATAATCAGATCTGACGTCATGGAAGTGTAAAGGTCTCAGGCTTTGTTTGGTACTGATTACCTCTGCTAGCTGAAGGACAACAGTGTGATCCATGCTGAGCTCTGCTGGGACCGACTGGACTAGATAAGAGCCTCCAACGGGAATCATCCCGAAGCCATTTCCCATAGCCTTGAGCTTCTTGATGGCCCGCACTAAGTCATCTCTGAGCGACGATGTTAATGGTTGGTACGAGAATTCATGTGTTCAGAACAGCTAGAGAACACTATATACAAATCAAAGACACTCACTGGCTCACATCTTGTGCAAACTTCCCTCTTCCTTTCAAGACACGGTGGTGAAGTTCATCCAGTGTGATGAGACCTGTAAAAATAAAGTAATTAATTGGTTAATATTTACATTTATATATTATTTTCATAGAGAAAGTTTTAGAAAGTCATATTAGACATTTGTGACCCTGGCCCACAAAACCAGTCATAAGTGTCAATTTTTTGAAATTGAGATTAATACATCATCTGAAATCTGATTAAATAAGATTCCGTTGATGTATGGTTTGTTAGGTTAGAACAATATTTGGCTGAGATACAACTATTTGAAAATCTGGAATCTTGAGGGTGCAAAAAAATTAAAAAAATCTAAATCTTGAGAAGTTTTGATATATTTACGGTAGGAAATTTACTAAATATCTTCATGGAACATGATCTTTATTTAATATTCTAATGATTTTTGGCATAAAAGAAAAATCGTACATTTTGACCCATACAGTGTATTGTTGGCTATTGCTACAAATATACCGCAGCGACTTAAGTTTTGTGGTCCAGGGTCACATTTAGACGGTCATTATTGTCAAACACTGACAAGCTGGTGTTTTTATATACGAAGAAGGAGATCATTGTCATCATAATTTAGAAATATCTGATCGCTGAAAGCACGATTGACTAATGAGAAAGAACCAAGTATACCAGAGAGCCGTGTATTAAGTATGTCGAATATATGGAAGAAGAGAATATGCCGTTTGTTTTGCGACACACATAATAGCTTCAAGAAAAAAAACACAGGCCTGTCATATTGATAATTATCACTTTTAACACTTTTAAACTGGCAAAACTTACCGCCATTTCTGTGTTTTAGAGCTAAACAGACTTCAATGATCTGTACACCAAGCTCATAGTAGAAATCTCCAACACCAAGCATCTCTGACCAAAATCCTTTTCCAGCTGCACACATACAGCAAAAAAAGTTCAGAAGGACATATAACTTTTTCTTTGAAATGATGATTCACTATAACATAATTATTTATCATTTTAATTGATAAATTAATTAAATGGTACTTAATAATTTCTACTTATTAGTTAATTACAATGCATCCACACAGTTTTCATTAAAAATGAATTATAAATACAGTTTTAATAATGTATACTAGTTGATTAGTAATTATAATGTATAACCCTAATAGTAAATCATAACAATTCTGTATAATTACTTACAAATGCAATAATTATTTATTTATTATTATAATTGACAATAATTAATGTTAGAATTAAATATAAATATAATTTATATAATAATTCATAATGATTATAATGCATCCACACAGTTTTCATACAGGGTCAAATACGCAAAATGGATGTCAACTATCAACACACAAAAAAAGTTTCCCCCATACATTAGAATGTGTCCTGCTCAATTGTGTGTGAGTGTGTGTGTGTGTGTATTTCCCCCCAATTATCCACCTTTTTCTTCAACGCGGAAGTAAGCCTATGGGTGAGACTTCCGGTTCATTAGCCGCTATAGGTAAATAACGAGGAGAATAACAACGTGCAGTAAACGGTAAAACTGTTTGCACTACAAACCAGTGTGTTTATAGGTAAGATCATACATTACAATAATATGATAAGACACACCAACTTTCAATATCAAGCAGCAAAACGAACTGTTTTGCTCAGCTAAAAATAGCTGGACGGAGTGGACGCAGATGAGACCGGAAGCCAGACCCATAGAATATTCAAATGGCCGCGCCCATTTTTACCACAAGGTGGAACGTCTAGTCTTTGACCTAGGGCTGGACGATATGGCCAAAATTGATATCACGATATATTTCTTAATATCGGTCGATACGATATAATTCCGATATCGATATGAACACTATTTATCTGAAATAGAAATCTTTTGTAACATTATAAATGCCTTTATCATCACTTTTGATCAATCCATGAACATATCATAAACAGACACATCCATTTCAGCTTTAAGGGAAACATTTATGATAGGAAAAACGTACATGCCAGTGGATCAACCCCTATGATGGCACACATCTCTTGGAACTGCACCCTGAACTGAGAGTTCTTACGGATTTCTTGTTTATGTTTGCTGGCAAACTCTTCCAAATGGGTCTTAAAGGTTTCCAGCTGTTTTGACATCTACAAGGGCAACACACACGGTCTGATTATAATGGGGTCAATGCTGTTTTAAGTTACATCTGTGTGGTTTGCTCAGTAGGCTATACGCACCTGTGCAATTTGATCCTCTGCAAGGACAGTTCCTCTCTCTTTATACTTTGCCTGTGACGGTAAACAAATGAGCTGAATGAATATGCCACAAGATTTGCCTAGTTACCAAATCTCATCATACCTCTGCAAGTTTCTTTTTGGCGATCGCTCCAGCTCCGACTCCTCTTCTGTGCATGATGCCCAAATAAAAACTATAATACTACGAAATGAAACTGTATTATTTCCCTGTTCTGATAACGGTAGTAGTTTACTTCCTAGTCAGCTGAACAGCTCACGAGCTACATAGTTACACATCGAGACGGAATACGACAAAACAGACTAACTAAATTAATATATATTACAATAAAACAAACGAATAGGGTTGTTCCCTTTCAATTATGCTCTTCTTATCTACAACGTTGCAAACAGTCCAGGAAGAAAACATCCACAGAAGTGTGTTATTTCTTCTATACACGACTAAGGTCTCGACAGTAATGTTTTGGTGAATGTGTCCGATAACGCCACCCGTCGGTCTGGAGAACAAAGTCTGGGTATGCATATTGGCCCGGGCTGATTGGGGGCCCGCAGAGGGGGACTTTTAAATTAAAACGAGGGAATGCATTCTTCTTAATTTTATATATATCTGCGGGCTTTTTAAAATGAAACGAGGGAACGTATTGTTCTTAATTTTAAACAACAAGGTCATTGTGGATGAATTCGCTGAAAGAAAGGCCCAGAGAATTAAATAAAATGAATTACAACTAAAATGTGAGTAGTGAGTAGTTTTTATTTATTTTCTTTCTGTATTTCTACATTTTGGGCCGCTGTGCCAAGAGTGTGTTTGCGTTAGTGAATATGGCAGCGTTTTTGTGCCACAATATTTTCAGAATAAAGTCAAAATTACGAGTTGTTATTTTGCATGAATAAAGTTAATCAATGTGAAAATTCCATCTACTCAAAAAATGAATAAATAAATAAAATAAAAGATAAAAATAAATAAATAAAACAATGTTGGCAAAGTTATGTTGTTGGCATTTCTGAGGTAAATGATATGTTACAACTGTTATGACTATTTACAAGCTGTTTTATTGACAATTTTCAAAACATTTGTTTTATTAAATTGTTCTGATTTTTTTCAACATGTCTTCTGATAATCGTTTATTTCATGCTGTAAACAGTAGAAAAGAGGAAAAGATGATTGATTCATTTCATTAAAGGGGTCATATGATGCGATTTCAAGTTTTCCTTTCTCTTTGGAGAGTTACAAGCTGATTGTGCATAGATAAGATCCCTGAAGTTGCAAAGGCTAAAGTCTCAAAACCAAAGAGATATTCTTTATCAAAGTTAAGACTCTGCCACGCCCCCCTAAAACGGCTCGTTCTAACACGCCCCCACATATCTACCTCACTATGTGGAAATACTTGCGTAATGCTGCCCAAATGTGCATGCAAAGAAAGAAGGCGTGGTTTCAGTAACCGCAGTTAGTGTTAAAGCAGCATGTCAGGGAGGCGCTGTGTGTTTCTAGACGAAAGCAAAAGCACTTTATGTGGCCTTCCGAAAGTAGATGCATTTAGGAATCTTTAAGATTACTTACAACAGAACAGCAATGCATTTTATGGACGACCGTTTTGTGAACCTAGGAGAGGAGGTAATTCTGACTTTGCTATGACAATCTGGCGCTTCTGAATCAGCTACTGTTTTGTTATTAGTTTAAGTATTTGCTATTGACTGTTGAAATGCGGAGTGTGTGAGATAGAGAGAGACACAGGTTCACATCACAGTGGAGTCAGCTGTCTTAACCATGGCTTGTGTAATGGAAACACATACCAGCTTCATCACTGTGTTTGTCACGCGACTCTGTTCCACTTTCGGGCTTGAACTGATGGTAAAACTAATGACATTATTTACTGTCTTTACATTTATTTTGAAAGCTG